AAGAAAGCAGATATCTTTGAAGAAATTAAAGCTTTATCTATTTTAGTGTTAACACCACCTCCTTTGGATTATAAAAGGCAAGAATATCTACCTTTATAACAATAACAATTGGTCCAATGTGATATTTTAGGATGCTACGGGAATCATTTCAACAAACATTTTCTCACTAATTCACAACATTGATTTGCTTAGTAAAAAAAATATGTATTTGTATTACCTGTTTATTTGATTATTTTCATGGACCATCAAGTGAGTTGATACTTTTTTAGGGGTGTGTACTAAAATAATATATTATGGTAGTAAATATAATAATAAAAAGTAAAAAAAATAAAAAGAAATAATTTACAATGTCAAACAAGAACAATGAGGATTAAATAATTTAGAAAGAATAGAAGATTGAGAAGAAAGATTTTATTGACCAAACTGAACAATTGCATCAAATTGAAAAGATTTAGAAAAAAGAATTGGAGCAAAAGATAGAAAGAAGCATTGGAGAAAAAAGATGAAAGCAAACAAATCTCTTTATTAAAAGAAACTCATCAAAAAGAGATTAGAGAGCTGAATGATAAAATCAAATAAGGATATTTTATCTATGGTTTTGCACTGAAAAGCAGTGTTAATTCACAGAAAAAGATTAAAGAACTAGAAAAGGGATCGGAAGAGAAAGAATTATTGGATGATTATTTGAAACAGATTTTATATTTTTAAAAAAGCCTTGCCTACAACTTCATCGCTTAATTGTTTCCAATGTTCTAAAACAGTTCCTTCTAATCGAGTCCAGCCGTTCCATTCAACAAAACGTAAAATAATTTCAAAAGGATACAAAACAAAAAGTAACGGAACATAAATAAATATATATAAAATGACGTTTAAAGGGTGAGCAATTGGTGACGTCCAGTCAAACAATACACTAAGAACTGCATTCTTGACAACATTTTTCACATAGAATATAATATTTTTCGAAGGAATTATTAATGGTATTTTTTCAATAAAAGGTGGAAGTTCATTTTTATTTGCATTTTTTAAATCTGTTAAATGTACACGCAAAAGTTCTGACGAATCGCTTTCAGGAATTCCTTTAACTCTGAAATTGAAATCGTCCATTTTTACGAAATTTTATATTATTTGCTGGCAACTCAACT